GCGCCGCTGCCGCTTTTAATGCGAGGGGACGTGCGCTGGTTCTGTCAGTTTCAAAAGACGTGCGCTGGCATTCCGTTAGTTTCAGAAAGACGTGCGCCGGCGTTCCGTCAGTTTCGGGAAGACGTGCATCAATCACGTCTTGGTTTTTGTGGACGTGTGACTGTGGGCCGTCGGATTGGTTTTGATCTGAGCCGTTGCTTCTTCACTGTGGGTATAAATAGTGGGGCGACCCCAGTCACTGCCACTTCTGTGCTTCTCTCGAGCTCACGTCCGAGTTTCAGCTCGCGTCTAGGCTTTCAGTTCGCATTCAAGGTTTTCGCTCATTCGAGTTCTCGTAGTCTGCTTCAGCCTTTTTCCGGGTGAGTACCTTCCTGGAATCCACCTTACTCCTCGATGTCTAGCTCGGATAGCTCAGACGGTCCTTCAAGTGGGTCCGATGCAGGTTCCATGAACCGAGTTGCATCCCGTGATAGGGTTGCATCCCTTGATAGTTCTAGCGAGCCGGAGGTAGAGCTTGAGGAAGAGTTTGAACTCGTAGGCCGAGGCGCCTCGGGTAGTTTGGCGTCCACCTCTCGTCGGGGTCGGATGTTAGACAAGTTTGGCCCTTCGACCATGACGCCTGAGGGGCTCCAATCCTTTATTACCTATTATAACTTGCCTGGGGAGTATGCTTATTTCATACCTTCGGGTAGCTTTCCATGGGAACACAGTCCTGATGAGATCATGATATTCCGGGAGCAGCTCACCGCGGGGCTGCGACTGTCTTTCCATCCCCTCCTTGTTGAAGTCTTGAACCACTTCGGCGTGACAGTCGGCCAGCTTCACCCGAACTCCATTCGAAATTTGGTGGAGACAATCTCCTTATTTTGCAAAGAGGGCTTTCCTTTAGACTTGGAGATTTTCTCTTCCATCTTAATGCTTAAGAAGCAAGCGGGTCCCCTTCCCGGGCGTAGGCGGGCGTATTACCTGTCTCCTTGCCCGGGTTTTTAGCTTTTACATGAACTTTCCAACAAGGTCCCTGCGTGGAAGCGGGACTACTTCGGGGTGCGAAGTGTACTGGGGTGGCCGTTTCAGACCGGGTGGGGGATGGCCGCTCCTAACTCCGGTGTTACGCTTGACAAAGAGACGGTGAAGGGCCTCCAGCAATGGGCGCGGCTTGGGTTAAAGTGTCAACAGTATCTGACGGAGGCCAAGCTCATTGCGACCAACCTGAGTCTGGGTAGGTTCCTCACTTAGAGGTTCTGTTTTGCTCTGTCTCTCTTGCTTTTTACTGATGCCGAACTCTTTTTCGTAGGTGTGATGGACTCAGAAAGGACCGTGGTGGACATTTGTTCCAAGGCATGAAAAGGAGGAAGCGAGTCGCCAAGTGAACTCGCGCCGAGCTGCAACGGGATACGGAGCCCGAGGTGCCGGACTACCCGTCAGAGGATCTGCCCAGGGAGCCTGAGATGGCTCCTCCAATGCAAGAGGCGGCAGGGGTCCCTTATGCTGAGACTACTTACATGGGGGTCCTACCTACTCTGGTGCTCCTACTTACTCTGGGTCTGCTCATACGCGAGCTGGGGCCTCAGGCTCGGGGGCCCCAGGGGATTTCAGGAGTGTGTTGTCACCGACCCACGCTCTTCAGAAGAGTAAGGAGGCCATTTTCCCCGAGGAGGTCGCGGCGTGGACTGATCTCCCTCTGCACAAGGTGGTCTGTCGTGCTGTCACTCATGCCATGGTGGTAAGTGATCTCCCTTTTTTAGAGCTCTCATGCTTTTATTCTTCTGTTGGTTCTTTTGATCACTTGTTCTTTTTGGTAGGTGAACTCTTCTATCCACGCCTTGGCGGCCCAGGTGGAAAGGAGCTCGAGGCAGGCGCGAGCTACCGAAGAGGCTCTTCGTGCTACCGAGACGACTTCGCGAGCTGCTGAAGCGGTTGCTCGTGCTGCCGAGGAGGCTGCTCGCGTTGCACAGATCAGGCAGGCGAGGTCTCAGAGAGATGCCGAGGCCATGAGAGTAGTGGTGAAGCACATGGCGGACCTGAGGCTGGATCTGCAGCATCAGGTTGAGTACCTTCAGGATGACATTAGGGAGAGGACACAGATCTTTTCTCAAGGTATCGAAGATGCCAAGAAGAAGGCCATCGATGAGTACATCGCTTCGTCGCGCTTTGATGATCTGATGGTGGATTCGTATAGGAGGGGTTTTAAACTAAGCCGGTGGATGATCCGGAATACATACCTCGAGCTTGACATCAGTGCTATATCCACTTCGCGCATAACGCAGGAGATGGCCAATGCTGCTGATGGTGAGCCAGATTCCGAGGGCGAGGC